TTATTATTAATACATAAAACTAGAAGAATACAAGTTTCTTAGAAATGTGAGTAACAGATTATTTTGTTATTCAAATACTAAAATTATTGAAATTTGTAATTTTTTTCGTAATTTAATTTAATATTAATATTTATAATTAGATGCAAATATTATTTTTGAATTAAAGCATACATAATATAAGGAAACAACAAAAATTTATTAAATAAAATGATATAAAATCCAATATTTGGGCTGAAAAGTTTTTGGTTTACAAAAACTTTGAAAAAAAATACAATTATGTTCCGTTTTTTTAGTTAAATAATAAATTTTGTAATTAATATAATTATTTTTATAGAGAATAGGCATTATTTTTTGTTAATTAAATATTGTGTGAAGTAAAAAGTTCTGAGCGTTTTTCGTTAGATGGCTTTAGTGATCCATATCTCACGTAGTATAGAAAAAGAACCTCGATGTATGGGACAAAACGCTTAGAACTTTTTACTTCACGAAATATTTAATAAAAAGTTTTAACAATTTTTTAAAATTTAAATTAAATATTTACTTTTTCAATCAAATGTAAATAATGTAATGGAATAGTTTATGAGGATCAAAACTATATGAATCGACGAATACATTAGGTATATGTATATATTCCTTAAAGACTATTTGAATTCGAAATTACGCTGATTGAGTGCGCTGATTTGAATAGGGCAAGGATCTAAGTTCGAGCGAATCATCATTAGTAAGACGACATGAAAGGTGGAGGAGGATGGAGAACTGCAGAGGAATGATGATTTCCACCACTAAGGATGGAAGAGGATGAAGGATATTGTCTGCAACTCGGTTTGTCCGTTTGAAAAAATGAGGATGCAATTTATTTGCGTCGACAGTAATCATGTAATTATGATAACGAGCGAGCACTGCGTGCGAGCAAACGAGTGCGCAAGAGTAGGCAGCAAAGGGCCATTTACATACAGAGTGGCTTGTAAACACGGCCCTGCGTGGAAATCATTTTAATGACTTTAATTACGATAAATACCTGCACACTACTTAAATACGAACACGTACGCAGATGTATGTACACAGAACTATTTTAATTAACGCGCGCGTCCGCTCCTTCTCCTACTCTTCACCACCATCCATACATTCGACTTTTGTTCTTACCTTCATTTCTCCCTTCTGTTACCACTCATTCACCTACTCGACTATGAAAACTGCTCAATGTGACTAACTAGTTATATTAGTTATGTAGATGTAACACTTTTTCGTTTACTTTATCATCTTCAAAATATTTTATAGAATTAATTGGTTTAATGATATAATCCACATAATTTGTGATATAATTGAT